CCGGGGATTCTTACGCGTCTTCTCCAGCACCTCAGTTCAAAGACATCAATTCTTCTGCGCTTAGCCTTCTTTATGGTCCAGCTCTCACAGCCGTACATTACTACTGGACCACACGGAGGTAGCACGCTGATTCAAGATCCATTCCACAACTCTCTGTCCTCACAATGCTGTGGAACATGTGGGCCTTGGAAAGGGGAGCCAATCAACTGTCAGTTGAGTTCCTGCTCCAGAGGAAATGCTAGGAAGACCTTTGAGATGCAAGATATACTATTTTCCTTGGGCAGAACTTCCACCTCATCCCATCTTCAAGTACTGATATTTCCCTAGAGCAATGGTATATTCTAATGTTTGCTGCCATTTTACTCTACATTTTGCAACCTAGATCTCAATGCACTCCCTCCTGTAAACAAGATACTATCAAATCTTGCTGACTTCCCCCATCCTCTCCAAGAGGCAGCTTTGCTGATGCCCCACCCCATCCACAGTGCTCTGCTGGGTTCTTTTCTTTTTTCTTTTTATCATAATGAAAAACAGATATGGTAAAAGAAGGGAGGGAAAAGATACCATTGGCCAACCTGGGGGAACACTGGGAGAACATAACACACCAGTGCAGATATACAGGTGGGAACTCACAACTACTTTAGATGATTTGAGGGACAAGGTGTAGCTGCATAGAAGCACTTTAAATCAGTTTTCATTTTTTCCATATCTATGTCAATTGTAAAACTTACATTGACTCAACGAAATGCCAACATATCTCCATTAGCAAGATTCAAAAATGATATATTTCACACTTGGAGCCATTCACTGTGTTACTTTTGAAAGTGCCCTTGGGCAAGCTGAACTTAAAATGCACTAAATCCATATTGTATAAATCAGTCCTAATGAATGAACATTTGTATTGAAAGACATAGTATAGTTAATTTCATAAGGATGTTACCTGAATGCTCCAACTGAATGATGGATCTTCCTTTCTGTTTTTTTCCACCTCATATCATCCATAATGTATGATGTGAAGGCTTTGCATGTAGAGTTAGAAACATGACTGGGCAGTTTTTATGATTCTTTACCCTCAAAAGTATGCCAGGTATTGGTCCCCTGGTGTATATATGCAAGTGGTATTCTCTCTCTCTCTCTCTTATCTCTCTCTCTATCTCTCTTTCCATTTTATTGCAGAGGTAATGAATTATGCCCACTTCTTCACTATGGAAAAAAAGGATGTGCAACAATAGGCACTCTCCAAATTGCTTTGATGGAAAATACAATAATTCTATACCATCAAATTCCAGAGCTGTTTGCATAGGCTTCTGCAAGTCACCACAGAGAAAATATTTCAGTATGGTTTTAGGGAGATTAAAATTAATCCCTTAATCACTTCAAAAGTCTTAGGAATATATTCCAATATATAGGGATTTATATATCCCTATAGCCAGGAGCCTGAAGTGAGGATTGAAATTCAGTATCCTTGCTGAATCAGCAGGTGGGCTGTGGGGATCCAGACCTGTCAGGAGCTCCTATATGATACTCTGCACACTTTAAGAAAACTAGGATAGGCCCTTCTGCATATTCTTGCACCATCAGAAGTGACAGCAAGTAAATGACATGTACTACATAGCTGAAAACCAACATTAAGAAAGCTATGATAAATTAAGTATAGATTCAGGTGATACCAGGGTGCAGATCTTCTCTTCCTACTCCATAAAACCATATGATGTCAAAGAGTTGCAGTCTCCTTCCAAATCCCATTTAGATCAGTGTTTCTCAACCATAGCAACTTTAAGATGTCCGGACTTCAACCTCCAGAATTCCCCAGCCAGCATGATCTGATCTAGATGTTATACTTCAGCAAAGATAGAGGATCCTAGCCCAATAGTTCCTAGCCTTCTTCTGAATGGAGGAAGGCTTCCCTCTCTCTTTTCTGCAAAGAAAGAGAAGTAGTGGGATTTGGGGCATTTGATGACAGACCAATGAAACCAAAAAGAATTCAGGAAGAAGGAAACAGACAGCTATTTTGATGGATGACATTCTACATTCCTACTCAGACTTGGTAACTAGTGACACCTGATTTTGGTAACTAGAGACCCAAGGAGGGATATGAAATGAAGGGTGCTGGAATCATAGATTCCTTGTTGGATTTTTAGACAGGCAAATCTCCAGAAAGTGATGAAAATATGGTAAACAGGACAATGCACAAATATGGGAAGCACAATTTTACCTATGTACATCAATCCCAGGAAAATATATATTGATAAATATATCTGATACAAGAATACTTTATGGTTTGGGATTTATAATGGCGCCTCAAGTATTTGTTAAATACAAAGCATGAACTATTGAATAAATACTAGGAAGAATACATATTTCATGCTGAAGCTACTTTAATGATCCAAAAATGACAGGCAAATATTTTAAAAATGTTGATACATAAATGCATTAATTGATCATATGGAAGTATGCTGCAATAAATAAACTCGATAATTGTTTGAAATTATTTTTGCTAATTAAAACATGTAACAGAATTGTGTTTTAGTGAGTGAGAGAGTGAAAGAGAGAGGGGCATAAAGAATGATTTAACGACACTGGATGTTATAGACTCTAAGAAAATGTTAAGTTCCCAGATAAATTTGGTAATCTACTTCAAAAACTTCAAATGTGCCTGGTAAAGTGTTAAGCTAATTACTTAACCGAAAGAGGCATACAAGAGGATATGAATCTTTTAATGTATATCTTTCATTACAATTCCAAAGTTTACATTGCTGGTTCAAAATACATTTTTACTGAAACAATTTGAGGTGTCTGAAGGCGCCTGCTTTTATTTTTGCCAAGGTAGGTCAAAGCTCTTGCTCAGATCACTGCAAATGCACACTAAGGAGTTTAGATAGAACATTTCTATAATGGTGGCTCATTTTTCAGGGCATCCCTTGCCACTTAAAATCTTACCTCCAGGCTTCTACGAAGTTGTCCTCAGTTGTGCTATTCTGGTGAGAATGTAAAGAGCTCCCATCAGCCCTGTGGAAGTCATTCTGACCATTTCTGTCAAAAGTGCCACATAAACCTCTGGTCCTGTTAAAATCAATGCTTGGTGCCCTTACTGTCAGACTCATTCCCCAGTCATTTAGATCAGCTCGAATAAAGGCTCCTGAATGGAACAAGATCTGGAAAAGCAGAAAAATATGGTGAACGGAAACCTTTTTATTTGTGTGTCTACACATACTACATACATGCACATACACATACATACATATGCATATAAATATACAAACACACACGTGCAGACAAATTCACCAGAAAAAGGGCAAGAAAGGAAAGACAATATCTCCAAGCTCTCAAAACTGATTTTTCTGAATTTTAACTAAGCCTTAGCTTCTGGCGGTTTTCTAAAAAGAGTAACTGGAGGATCAGCAAAAAAGGGAGACAAACGGGCGGCTCCATTTCTCCCTTATCTCTTTGTAAAGCAGTTATGAGACTCATTATTGAGCATTACTTTTAGACACACTGAAAAGATTGTGCAAATATTATTTAGGATAATGTAGGAAGTTTTTAGAAGCATCTTTAAAGCAATTACTAAGCTAGATGAGAGATTATAGTTATGAAAAGCCTTTTCTAAATAGCTTACCAACTGAAACTTCTATGTGGCATCTAAGATCGCTTCAAGATTTTGCCTTAGGAAATGAACTATCTGTTTCATCCCTTTGCCCTACACACATAGTAAGCAAAGGCTCCCACTCTCATCACCACTTCTTGAAGCCAGGAGACACAAAGGTAGGTAGATGGGATTTGGGTAGGTGGGAGAGAAACGGTAGCCTCTTGGAACTCTGGGAGAGATGGAAAGGAGCCTTTCTGGGTATGAACATGGAATGAGAGGCAGATGTGACAGATACACAGTGTCATTTTATTGCAGCACTAGGAACCTTTATCTGGAAGCTTCACAATGGGTAAGGAAGAATTTCATGATCATTTCCTAAACATATGATCTGTGAAGAAAGAAGCCAAGGAAAACAGTGCTCAGCCCAGCACCCATACAACCATTGCCATTTCCTTTCTATCCAGACAATTTCTCCTTGCAGACTCTCCAATAGGTGAGCTATAAGAAAACAGATAGCAGGTGATAATTCCATCAGTTTCATAAAAGTGTGGGTTTGAATTCCTGTGTATTCAGCCTTATTGCTCCTCTTTAGCAGGTACATGGCAGGCAGATCCAACACATTTCTTCCATTAGGACTGTGCAAATCCTTTGAGAGAGGTGCTTTGAAATATACAGGAGTGAGTATGAAATATCTTTTTCTGATTATTAGAATAAATATCTCTTCTTAAGCTCCTGTGGCTGCTTCAGAAACTGCTCCTAGCTATTTCTGCATGAACATTCATGGATCCTTTGCTTCAATTGTTTCTTTCCCAGAGAACTTTCGAAGGATTTGCATTCTGCATGACAACCAAGCCAACAGATTCAATTAAGGCCAAGTAAATAATGTTACCACTTTATTCTATTTTAGCTACTATTTTCTCTACAATTAAGACTGTGAAATTGTAAACCTAAATTATTTTAGCAGAATTCAGTGTTTAATGAAATAAGTGTATGTAAAATGGAGTTTTGTTCCTCTACCTCCACCCTGCAGCCCCTCCTGTCCATCCCAAACCAGTCTTAATGTTTCAGTCACACTTTTGAATAGCATAGAATGTAGTGTGAGAGGGAGGAAAATGTGAAGAAAATGTGAACAAATGTGAGGTAAGTTCTCCCAGGCTTGAGAGAACTTCATATTGAAGGCTGAGAGAACATATCTCAGCCATTTCCAATGGCCTTGAAGAGAGTGGCAAAATGTTCACTGACTCAGAAAGGTAGGAGGAAAAAGCCTAACATTTAAACTCTGGGGTGCAGACTGATTGCTGTGTATTTCAGTAGGCAGGTCTTCAGTTGTATATGGTTTCCTTCATGCAATAAAGCAACTGAAGCAAAGTCCTGAATAAGGGGTTCAAAATCCAGATTGCCTAGGCCAATGTTTCTCAACCTTGGCCACATTAAGAAGGATGGACTTCAACTCCCCAAATTCCCCAGCCAGCATGGGGAATTCTGGAAGTTGAAGTCCATCCTTCTTAAAGTGGCCAAGGTTGAGAAACACTTACAGCTGAACCAAGTGTGAAGCTTGACATAACAGACCATTTGAAATGGAAATTCCTTCTATTTTTACAAGGGGTTTTTTGGATAATGCATCTGTTTAACAATGGTTTGTACTTCAGGCCCAGATACAGACTGCCCTCTCTGACTGCAGTGTTGAAACTGAGGCAGGAAACCTATAAAAGCTACAGTGTAAATAGTTAATATTCCCCCAACAGAAATACCCAGTGCTGCCCATCTGTACTATAAATCCCTGTTCATTTTTCATCGTTATCTCCCCAAAAGATGTTATATATCACCCATGTACATGGAGAGCCATTTTGGTGTAGTGGTTAAGATGCTGGCCTAGAAACTAGGAGACTGTGAGTTCCAGTCCTGCCATAGACATGAAAGCCAGCTGGGTGACTTTGGGCAAGTCACTCTCTCTCAGCTCAACCTACCTCAAAGAGTTGTTGTTGTGGAGAAAATAGGAGTCAGGAGTATTAAGTGTGTTTGCCGCCTTGAGTTACATATAAAAAAGTTGGGATAAAATTATTATTGTTGTTGGTTGCATAGTCAGCCAGATGTTTAGACTGGATTTGGCATTTTTATCCACCTATCAAGTCCTTCCCAAGGACCTGGGATAGGCAGATGTTGTTGTTGGATGGTGCTAAAGGTATCGTCACAGGATGTAAGCTGACCCAAGTAAAGCTGCCTTTTGATGATATTATTATTATTATTATTATTATTATTATTATTATTATTATTATT